TTCCTTTTCCCTTAAGAAAAAAAAAGCAATCTTTAAGAATGCCTGTAGATGTAGCAATCCCAGAGGAAAATTTAGAAACAGCCGAGGAGAGAAGCGAGGACCGGCAACAATTTCTTGATGCATTAGAGGAAATGAAACAGGTCAACCACTGTCTTTTGTTTTCACCAGGCCCTGATTTCGCCTTAGCTTGCTCCTGCAACGATTGCCGTCTCAAAATCACAAAGCTCGAGGAGTTTGAGGAAGATATCAAGTCTAAAAAAGAACTTGTCTTGGTGAGTAGTACACAATCAATCAATCAATGGCAAGCGTCCTAGTTTCTTCAATTACTTATCTATTTATTATGTTTTCTTCATTGAATTTGTGAGTAGAATTACCTTGGCCAACTGGGAAGGGATGAATCACTCTGTCTGATCCTTGTGAACACCGCAAAGTGGACAATAGATATCCTTGATTTGCTTTTCCAACAACTCGAAGCATTATCTGAGGTAGTAATCTGTGTCTTTCTCCTTATTCATTGTCTTTTTGATGTAAATATAACTTTTTCAATTATATTGAGTTTCAGAAGACAGTTCAATTTCCACTTAAGATAGAAGACCCCGCATATCCCAAAATGTGCTCTGTCTCATTAGAATTAGCTCAGCTGCTAAAAGACAATGAGTTGCTCGATAGTATAGAGCCTCCTGAATGTGATCCAGAAGCTTATTCCGTCCCTATTGCATTTAAAATCGATGACGGGGTAAGATTATTGGTTAGGAGGTCATTTTTTATTTCAGCAAACACAGAATGAAAAAACAATTCTATTCAATAGTTTGATTTTATACGTTAATTTGTTAGGACTATTGTTAACGGCTGTTCATCCTCTTGACAGATTTATAAGTATAAGCAAACCAAAGCCAACATTAAGGCTTTTGATCTCCTCCAAAATTTTGCTGAGATCGAGCAGAAAAAAGAAGCTGAGGGAAAAATGCTTGACGCTGCAATTTTTAAAGGTTTCATTGAACGCCAGATTGAGGTAGCCGTATCTATAACTCTACTAAAGATATGTATCATAGTCTGAGCCTTTTATGTTTCTTCTTCTTTTTTTTATGCAACTCTAATTGCGCATGTTTTTATGTATATAAATTATCATAGTTGATAAAACAACTTCCAATGGAGGACCTGTACTTTGAAGCAGAAGAGCTCATTCCTAAAGTATGCCCGGTTGACGAGAATAGACGAATGGTGAGAGATGCATCGGTTTATATCGCCAAGACTAATCGTGCTATCATTAGAAAAAGAAAGAGTTTCTGGCACCAATTTCAAGCGGTATACTTTGTTGTGTTGATGCTAATTAAGTATTGTTTTAGTTGTCTTTTTGTTGAGCTTAAACCCCTTCTTCAATTTTTATCAGCATCCTTCCTCGGAGGACATGGCCAGGAAGGGCACGAGTAATAAACACAATGGATTGGACAAAACACTCAACTTATTGCTCACCATGGTAGGTTGAATTCTGATGTTTTAAGCTTTAAATTAGTTCTTTCATTTTTTTCAATCCTTTTTATTAATTGGCCTTAATGAGCAGGTCGATGTGTTCAAAAGTCATTGGGACGGAGAATATGACCCCTTCTTTACTCGGTTTGGTCAATCAGACCGTAAAAGGCAACGAACTGTTGGTAGCTAGCTGTTAGGGCAAAAAGAAAAGATTATTTGGTTTTTGCATGTATTTATTAGCAGCCAGCTATTTCGTTGTCGTATGGTTGAAGTTGTGATATTATGTACTTATGTGGAGTTGACGGGTTGTTTTGTTGAAATGGGCATTGCATGTATTGTGTTAACAATCTATATGCCGTCTGCTGATTGGGTGAAGATGAACTTGAGAACTTTGACAGCGTGTAGTGTGTAATGATGTTATATAAACGATTTGTGCTAGAACGTAAAAAATTACGAAACCTCGTCGTTTTGGATTTGCCTTGCATATATTTCACATGATTTGTTGGTTGATTTCCACAGTGCTTTGTGATTGGTGTTTTCATATTTATTTATCCAATATGATAATAATAATCGAGTGAATGGATTATGACAGTGATTCTGGATTAAGTTATTTTCGCATGCCTCTGATTTTACATGTCTCATTTTTACCCTAAGAACAAGTAGAGACAATAAATCTAGGAGCTTTTTATTAACACATTATGGATGTATTGAGACTTGAGACCGACTCAAGTTTACCGTGAGGATGAGAGCGTAAGCTCTAGCATGAAGAGTTGAGATTTTGTACAAAAGCATGATCGATCTGAACTTTTTGGTGTTTTATTTGTTTTTCTAATATTAATGTATTTTGTTGCGATGTTCTGTCATCTTCCTCGCAACAGCAACCATGTGGCCCCAGCGAATTCCGACAGCAAGTGGTGCGGCTAGCCTTCTGCAACTTCGGTCAGCAGTCTCACCGCGGCCATCCCTCCCTTCGCACATGGTAGCCCCATCACCGGCCGATTGAAAGCAACATCATCGGTCAAAAGCCTGGTGCATCCCGGCGTTCGAAGAAAACCCGCCGGCGGTAGCACATGGTCTAGACAACCACCTTGTCGGAAAAAGGAAAAGGGGAAGAAACGTGGAATAATGTTCAATTTTTATTGAAGAGTTTGATAGAAACGTGACTATATGGAAGTTACGATAAAATGTAATGTATTCGAAAAGATTGTGTGTGATTTTTTATTTATATGTTTGGGTTTAAATTTTTTCCAAAAAATTTCAAAAAACATTTAGGCGAGCTTTTTCGAATTTTCTCAAAGATTTTTTTTTTTTTTACTAATTTTAAGATTTTAAGAGAGAATCTAAATGATTTTTAGTTACTATTTCAAGTAAATATTATTTATTCTTATATAATCTATATCTATATATGTATATAATTATTGGCTAATCCATAAACAAAACATCTCTTCTTTTTTCCGCCCAAAAATCTCTTTTTTTTTTCAATTAATGTGGAAATGTTACATTATTCCTTAATGAGGTGTAATAATAATTTAAACTAATTTATTATGTAATAATTACTACTAATACTAGCTAATTATAAATTTACATTGAATAGTATGTAAAAGTTACATACTTATAAAAAATTGTATTGCAATTTTTTTTATTAAGATAATTATTTTATAATAAATATTATTTTTGGTCTTATTAAGCGGTTTTTCTCTAATATTAATTAATTGACATGAATGTTATAATTAAACTCCTTAAAATTACATAAGTAATTACTATAACAATACTAAAAATATTTGTAATACTTTTCTAACTAATTAATCGTATATTCCTTCTAATAACAAAATTACATTGTTCATTAAAATTTATGTAATCAATATAAAGATTCATATGCAAATTAAATAATTTATATTTATATTGTACATTTGTGTAGACTCAAAAATTTTAAAATATAATCCATCCATTATATATTAAATATTTTATATATAATATTAATATATAAATTTTTAGTTGTATCTATGCAAGAGTTAAAGATACGATTCAATTCAATATAATTGTAGAACACAGTTGATAAAGTGGACGATTGCCAAATATTAAAGCGGAAGCCTGGGCCCAAATTCGGACCAAATCCATTTATCTTATCCTCCCTCCAGTTAGGGTTCATCAAGTACCATTCCTCCTTTCTTTTTCTTCCATTAATCCCATTTCTGTTCTTCGTCGTCGCTCAAATCGATCCATAAGCAGTTCCCTTTTTTTTTTTCCCCTTAAGGAAAAAGCAATCTTTAAGAATGCCTGTAGATGTAGCAATCCTAGAGGAAAATTTAGAAACAGCCGAGGAGCGAGGCGAGGGCCGGCAACCATTTCTGGATGCACTAGAGGAAGTGGAACAAGCAGAAGACTGTCTTTTGTTTTCACCAGGCCCTGATTTCGCCTTAGCTTGCTCCTGCGACGAGTGCCGTCTCAAAATCACAGAGCTCGAGGAGTTTGAGGAAGAGATCAAGTCTAAAAAAGAACTTGTCTTGGTGAGTAGTACACAATCAATCAATGGAAAACGTCCTAGGTTCTTCAATTACTTATCTATTTATTTTGTTTTCTTCTTTGAATTTGTGAGTAGAATTACCTTGGCCAACTGGAAATGGGTGAATCACTCTGTCTCATCCTTGTGAACACCGCAAAGTGGACAGTAGATATACTCGATTTGCTTTTCCAACAACTCGAAGCATTATCTGAGGTAGTAATCTGTGTCTTTCTCCTTATTCATTGTCTTTTTTATGTAAAGATAACTGTTTTCAATTATATTGAGTTTCAGAAGACAGTTCAATTTCCACATAAGATAGAAGACCCCGCATATCCCAAATTGTGCTCTATCTCATTAGAATTAGCTCAGCTGCTAAAAGACAATGAGTTGCTCGATAATATAGAGCCTCCTGAATGTGATCCAGAAGCTTATTCCGTCCCAATTGCATTTAAAATCGATGACGGGGTAAGATTATTGGTTAGGAGGTCATTTTTTATTTCAGCAAACACAGAATGAAAAAACAATTCTATTCAATAGTTTGATTTTATACGTTAATTTGTTAGGGACTATTGTTAACGGCTGTTCATCCTCTTGACAGATTTATAAGTATAAGCAAACCAAAGCCAACATTAAGGCTTTTGATCTCCTCCAAAATTTTGCTGAGATCGAGCAGAAAAAAGAAGCTGAGGGAAAAATGCTCGACGCCGCAATTTTTAAAGGTTTCATCGAACGCCAGATTGAGGTAACCGTATCTATAACTCTACTAAAGATATATACAATAGTCTGAGCCTTTTATGTTTCTTCTTCCTTTTTTTATGCATCTCTAATTGTGCCTATTTTTATGTATATAAATTATCATAGTTGATAAAACAACTTCCAATGGAGGACCTGTACTTTGAAGCAGAAGAGCTCATTCATAAAGTATGCCCGGTTGACGAGAATAGACGAATGGTGAGAGATGCAACGGTGTATATGGCCAAGACTAGTCATGCTATCATTAGAAAAAGAAAGAGTTTCTGGCGCCAATTTCAAGCGGTATACTTTGTTGTGTTGATGCTTAATTACGTATTGTAGTTGGCTTTTTGTTGAGCTTAAAACCCCTTCTTCAATTTTTATCAGCATCCTTCCTCGGAGGACGTGGCCAGCAAGGGCACGGGTAAAAAACACAATGGATTGGACAAGACACTCAACTTATCGCTCACCATGGTAGGTTGAATTCTGATGTTTTAAGCTTTTAAATTAGTTCTTTTTTTTTTCAATTTTTTTTTTATTAATTGACCTTAATGATCAGGTCGATGTGTTCAACAGTCATTGGGATGGAGAGTATGACCCATTCTTTACTCGGTTTGGTCGATCAGACCGTAAAAGGCAACGAACTGTGGGTAGCGAGTAGTTAGGGTAAAAAGAAAGATAAGATTATTTGGTTTTTACATGTATTTATTAGCAGCTCTTTCGTTGTCGTATGGTTGAAGTTGTGATATTATGTACTTATGTGGAGTTGGCTAGTTGTTTTGTTGAATTGGGCATTGCATGTCTTGTATTAACAAACTAGATGCCGTCTGCTGATTGGGTGAAGATGAACTTGAAAACTTTGACTGCGTGTAGTGTGTAATGATGTTAGTAAAAAATTACCAAACCTCTTGTCTATTTGCATTTGTCTTCATATATTTCACATGATTTGTTGGTTGGTTTCCACTGTGCTTTGTGAATGGTGTTTTCATATTTATTTATCCAATATGATAATAATAATCGAGTGAATGGATGAAGTTTTACGATGCTTAGAGTAATGACAGGGATTCTGGTATAAGTTATTCTCGCATGCCTCTGATTTTACATGTCTCATTTTTACCCTAAGAACAAGTAGAGATAATAACTCTAGGTATTTTCTATCGACACATTATGGATGTGTTGAAACCGACTCAAGTTTGATCATCGGTTGAGAACCTCAACGTGAGTAGTGGGACTGGGAGGATGAGAGCATAAAGCTCTAGCATGATTTTGTAAGGAAAAGCATGATCGATTTGAATATTTTGGTGTTTCATTTGTTTTTCTAATATTAATTGTGTTTGATGTTTGTTGTCCTTTGTGCTTATGTTTTTAATTATTGCAGACTTGCAATTGTGTCGCGTTAGCTCGTGCTTGTTACATTGTTACATTGCCGTTGTTGGCTTTGTAGTTGTTACGCTCTCTACACTTATTGTGGGTTTGCATTTCTTACATTTCCTGTATTTTTTCCCACTGTTATTGCGCTTATCCTGTTTTGGTGTGAGTCCTATGTTGGGTGTGCTTTGGCCCCTGTTGCCTGTAGACATGATCACGGGTCAACCGGCCCGCTGACCCGGCCCAGTCAAACACGTTGCCCACGGGTCCGGGGCTGGCTTGGATTTCAGGCGAGCCATTTGACCCGAGCATATACGCATATTCGTCATTTTCATCTAGCAATAGAATATACATTTTAATACAATTGACTTTTATTGAGTGTTCCCTCCTATTTTAAATATTTGTCATCCTAGCTATCAACACACTAATTAATAAATATTTTTCTTTCTAGATTTAACCCTATTTAATGACACATTTGTGGATGGATGTTCTTGGGAATATGAAGAGACAATGGATATTGATGGAGGGGTTAAAAGGGAAAAATATGAACAAAATAGTCAAAACGATATTTATTTAATAAATGATCAATTAAGCTAGAATGACAAATATTAAAAATAGGAGAGAGTATAATATAATGTACTTTTAAATACAATTGACTTTATGATAAATCGTATAATTGCTTCTTTAATTTGTAGTAGGTTTCTTTTGGACAACATGATGAAATTTTGGAATGGAACACACCGATTATTAAATTAAATAAAAGAAAAGATGAGAACCGACTAATGCTGCATAACTGACAAGTGATAACACGGTTCCACTGCCACCAGGGGGAAAAAAGTAAAAATAATAATGAGTCCCTTCTAACATCATATCCATCATTTTCTTAACTCTCTAAAACAAAGGAAAAATTACAAAATAAAAGATAAGCCCCTACAACATCAGATCCATCATTTTCTTTAACTCTCTAAAACAAAGAGAGAGTGAAATAAAAGATAAGCACCTGCAACATCAAATCCATCATTTTCTTAACCCTCTAAAACAAAGAAAAAGTGAAAAATAAAAGATAAGCCCCTACAACTCCATGCTCTGCTATTTCCGAGTACTCGATTCGCCATGCTCTGATTATTCAACATGAAAATAATAATAATAATAATAAGACAATTATAATAAATTAATAAAATACAAAATAATCTAAAAAAATGATTTCATGCTCACCGAAATATTTAGCTTTCCCACCAGTTTTAATTTTTCTGCCACCAGATCCTTAATTTAACATGAAACACATCAACAGTAAGATATATAATATAAAAACAAACTTAAACACAACAAACTTAAAACTTACCAGGATTCTTAGATTTGAGACAGTTGACAACATTTTTTATTTCTCCAGCATTGTCCAGACATAGGCACCCGTCTATCTCCTCATTCCCGTCCATCAAAATCTGTGGCCTGAATGTATCGGTTAAGTTGCTCTGCTCGTGCGCCCTATCCGACATGGTGCCCCAGTTATTCTGGCAACTAACATCATAGGCGCTTGGTTTGCACGTGCGATAAACCCCATCCTCAGTAGGTTGGGCAACGCTTTCGATTTTGCCACATAACTTTTTGAGCCTGAGTGGCTCGCAGATCATCTGGACGTAGTTCAAAATCGCTTTCGAAACTATACAATCTCTTGCTTGATCTGTTGTGTGGAGATAAAAAAGTTGAGAAATAGAAGTATGCATTCTACCTATTCCTAGATCAAATGTTGTTCTACCCAATGTAATTTTCCCTCTGCCTTCAAGATGGATATATGAAGCAGTGAAGGGAAGGCATTGGTACAAAATACCAGCCCCGTCATTTTGAGGGAAGATGCTCTCCATGATAGCTCGAGACACGTCATTAAAAAACCACACAATGAATTGGCTTTTGAAGCCGACCAAATACAGATCACTCTTTCGAGCTACTAGAGTCAAACTAATCTCACGGTTCAACTGAGTCTCGCCGTTTGACAAATTGATAAGAAAAAAATTGTTCAAATCAGAAGGAAGGGGAGTTTCGGGGTGCAAAACGCGCATCCCCAAGTGCTCCGAACCAGTAACGATATCCCAACACTCGTTCAGAAAAAATCGGTAAGTTTCGGTACTAGCAGAGCTAGTATCAAAACCCACAGAAGGAAGATGAAAATCAGCCATCAAAATTTTGGATGGTAGATGAAAATAAAAGAGAGTAAAAAACAGGCGGTGGGAAATTAAGAACGTAAAGATGTTGGTATGTATATACACATGTTCGTACCTGCTGAACCATTATTTCTCTTCTCAAATCAGAGAAGCAAATGCCAATAACTATTTCCATTTTGCTCGCTGCAGAGCCTGCGCGGAGAGATGCCTACTGGAAGAAATAGCCATAACTGGAAACCAATTTAAATTAAAGTAAATTGAAGATCTCTTTTCTCTGAAAATTGAAGATTTCATTGATTACATTTGCAGCTATCTTCAAACAAAAAAAGGAAAATAAACTTTCAGAAGAAGTGGAGAAGAGATTTTATTTTTTGCTTTTGCAGAGGAGAAGATATTGCCAGAGGAGAGATGGAAACTGCATTAGAAACTGTGCGTGGTTTATTCGGGCCTGACAAGGAAGATAAGCTTAGGGCATATGGTTGGTATTGTAGCCCTGATGGGCCCTATCCCGTATTGGGCTGGGAATGCTTCTTTTATGAAAATATTCTATTGTCTTTTTTAGGTTGGGCCAATTTATACTCACACAAGTATCATTCTTATGGAACATTAAAACAATAGAATATACATGAATATAGGCAATTTGACATATCTATGCAACTTTAAAAGTAAGGACACAGTCACTTACACGGGTATTAAAAATTAAATTAAAAAAAAAAGTAAGTACACGTGTAATGATTTAAAAATATCTATACTTATATAAAAAGGCATCCTATTTACTAGAAATAGTAGACAGAAAAGTCAAAGATAATTAATGTTTGCTGGAAATAGAATGACATTAATTACAGATTTGTTTTGGTATTTATAGGCTTGACATTAAAGATTTGTTATGGGATAAAAATCAGAACCGATTTTTTTACCTTTGCTGATCAAAGGTAAGTATAGATTTGTTTATATTATCAAATCATATAAAGATATTAAATCCATATTGTAAAAAATAATAATTCATATAATTTTATAACAATTCTACTACACTATTTAACAGTATTCTTTTTTATTATATAATAAAATAATAATTAAATATTATATGGTGAACAACAACAAGTAAAATTGTTACTTTCTTATATCAGGAGATAAATTTATATGGTAAAATTAAATTTTTATTAGTATAAATGTTTTAGTGAGATAATATATTAATTATTTTAGAAGTTAGATTTAACATGCTCGTATTTAATGTTTTGGCTAAAATAACAACGCTGGTTAAAAGATGTGGAAAAAACTTATAATAACCCTATTGTTTTTTAGATTTAACGTTGATTAAAAGACGTAAAAATTAGATAATAACCCTATTATAATTTAGACTTAAACGGACAAGGCTGTGAAAATAACTCATTTAATATATCTGTCCCGTATATTGCACGGGGTACGTAGTAGTTTGACATAAAGATGGGTCTTCTAACTTAATACCACATAAGTTTATTTTGTGAAACTTAATCCCTTATTAATGGTGAGAATCCTCAAATGTATGGAATTGCATACATTCTCTCTCATTCATCCCATAATATACTGGATTACNACGCTTGCAATTATCTAAAAAAAAAAAATTAGCACAGGTATGTTGAAATCATAGTTCAAAAATAATTTTACTACTATATGGATGGTTTGTGCTCAATAACAAAATTAAAAACATTATTTTCTAAATTAAATTGTGACAACACTAACTAGAATAGTTTCTTCCATCAAAATTTAAAACAAAAACATGATCAATAAAATTTTGTTGAAATTAGTAGGAGTAGATTTCATACTGTCCATCATCATCGTCATGGTCACCCCCTCTTGAATGCATATGCATGATCAATATGTTGGAGGAAGGAGCCAAAATCTGTAAAAATACGGATTGCATATAATCAAACACCATAGTGTGGAAATCATACAAATAAAATTATGTTACAATAGGAACCAAGCATTTAGAGAACACTTAGCAAAGATAAAATAGAGAAGCAACAACAAAGACATCTTAGACATGCAATCTGTGGACAAAAGAAACATAAAAGAAAATTAGGATTTATTAATAACAACTTACAATTACCATAATTATCCTTTACACTTACCATCTTGATCATTTTTCATCTCTAAAAGTCTAAAAGGTGAAAAAATTAAACACTAAAAAAATATTATGACTTACTAGTATACATACCAGCAGTAGATTCCTTGGTACATGGTTGACTTCAATCTGGAAAATAAGTTCTCTGAATGAAGTTCAACATAAACACAATTATTTTCTCAATATGGAATAACTAGCATATATAGATTTCAACAAGGACACTGTCAAATTTTCAGGTAGCATAGACATTCGAAAAGCAGAATAGAATCCAGGAGTGCATTACCTCCCCCACTAATATGTAAACAAGTAATAATAAAATTGCATAATAATCTATACTAGTACAACACCCGTGTACTACACGGGCATTGGAGTAAATATTTGCATACAAATAATTTTTTTTAATAAAAATATATTAGTAATTTTGTTTTAATAATTAAAAATATTTGCATACAAGAAGTTTAAAAGGAGAATTTATTAGTTTAATTTTAAAATTTAAATATACATACATTTAGACTCAGAACTCTTAAATACTACTATAATTTAATTTGAAAATCTACAATATCATACAAATAAAATTTTAAAAAAATGAGCATCAATTTAAGGTGGCTTTATTTATTTATTTGAACAAATACAATTAACAATAGTATTTTAAAATTTTGATTTCTAATAATTAACATTGTTATTGAAAAAAAAATCAATAGTACAATTTTATATATTTGGATTATTTATCATTATGTAAAATTATACATGTGGTTTACTAAACTAATTAAAACAATTTTGTGTGGCATTACCAAGGTTTTATTACGAATTATATAAACATACACTACGCGAATGGAATTTATGTTACTCGAATTGAAATTGGTCCACTAATATTATACATACTATAATGGGTGTTGAATTAGAAAACTTCTGTAACAAATATTATTTTTTTATTTTTTTAAACTAAAATAATTTAATTTTCTATAAAACATTACTTTAGGTTTTAATTAAATTGTCAAATTTAATTTGTTTAATCATAATAATTAAACACCCGTACATTAAATGAAAATGTCAACTCGTGTTTAAATTTTTTACTTATATCATGTAAAAATATCAATATTATTTACTATTACATAAGTACAAAAATATATATCTTAAATAAATAGAAATATATTGTGATATATATGAGTGTAGAATATGTTTATTTAATATTAAGCAAAATAGATTAATTTTTTACTTAATTAGATGTCTAATACATCAAGTGTCGTATCAGTCGTGCTTCACAGTTTTTTAACTTTATATATAATTTTAGAATTTAAATAAATAATTTCTTTAACTTTATATGTAATTTTAGAATTTAAATAAATAATTATTTATTTTTATTAGATTGATAACATACCCATTAGATTTGAAATAAATATCATTTTTAAAAGAATACATACCAATTTCTGTTACTTTATAATATAATTTTTCGTTTTATTTGATATAATCATGACGTTTTGAAATTATATAAAAGGGGATAAGTTTTATTAAATGGAAAAAATTTGGACACGATATTGAACTATTGTACTGTGAATAATCCTTCATAGTCTTAACTATGTATTTATTAGTCTTTATTATTATATTATTCTATATTGAACTTGGGAATATGAAGAGTCCGTCTTCCTCTAATGTGTTGAGTAGGCGTGAGTATAGAAAGATATTAGGAGAAGATATGTATCATAAATAATATTGTAATTATTAAATAAGTGTGATAAAAATATTAATTTATATTCAAGCCTAACTCCAAAGCATGGTTTTTTGCTAAGTAGGATTCTGAAGCATGAGAGGTTGCCACGTAGGCTCAACCCATTTTGAAATTATATATAGAGGGGATATATATATATATATATATATATATATATTAAACTGAAGCTGCTGGAAATTTCCCTCTCATTTTTGCATTAATTTTTATAGAAATTTTATGCTAAATAACTTTCACATTATTTTATGCATTGTCCTGTTTTCTATCCATTAGTGTATTTATTGCACTTAAATTGTATATATTGATTACAACTTTGGTCAAAATTGCTAACTTTGAGGACAAGGTGGGCTTCTTGAAAACACAAAAGAATAAATATGATCATATAAATTCTAGAACTAAATATATGATTAATTTATTTTCAAAATGAATTTGTGTAATACAACTATTAAAATGATACCAAGAAAGAGAAATTATATTATCATGTAAAATATTACTTTGAATAATGGATTATTCAAATAATAATATTTAATGCAGTTCACTAATTGCTAAAATTAAGAAGAAATAGTAATTATATTATTATAAATTAAGTTTGGAATTAGAATAAGGAATATTTAAAATATAAAGTTAAAAAAATATTTTGCTAACATAGGACACAATCTCATTTATTACGTTTCACAATCTCATTTAACTACATATCTCCATATTTTTTTTAAATACATTTAGGTCCAAAAGTTAATTAAAACATCAATAAATTAAATAGTCTACTTGAAATTTTGACGAGTTAAACTTTTAATTTGATTTAAACATCTCCTTATCAATTGTAAAAATGTTAATAAAATTGTAGATATATATATATATATATCTTTTCAAAATTAAAAAAAAAAAATTCTACATTTATTTAATTCTTTATACGAGTATAATTTTGGTAACATTGGATGTTGTCAAAATAATAAACATATTCAGCGATAACACATCCAAAATACACCAAGTTTCAAAGATTTTAGTGTTTAATTAGAATACGAGTTTATGTTGATTGTCATATATACGAGGACACATATAGAAGATAGAAAGTACATAAAAAAAGGTGAATATAAGATAGAATTCATTTTAATTTATGAAAAAAATTTATTTAAACTAACAATCGTTCACTTTCTCATAATTTAAAATTTATTTTTAATTTTACGGAAAAAACTTGCAAAGTGTATGAAAACACAGGGGACAGAGGACCAATGATGGTGTGTTTTTTCAAAGACAAAAAGAAATGAGAATTAATGAAATATATGTGGGTGTATTGTATGGTGAAATGTTGTGTATTCTATTAGATTTATGATTTTATGTTAGATTCAATTTTCAATATGTAAAAGATAATTAAAAATTAATTGTACACAAAATTTAATTCTTTAATTTTTAATTTTTTTTTTGTGAATTAGATATATTACGCACATCAACTCAAATTAAGTAACCTATCATCATCTTCTGTTAGTCTTTCTATAGTTGGATAATTCAAGTAATATTGTTCAACTTATCTGACATATAAAGGGTATAAAATTAAGAAGTAAGAGTATAATATCCAAGTTTGGGGTTGATATTGAAAATGATGTTTTTTTAACGTGAAGGTATAATATCC